GCCATGTTTTCACCATATCACTACCCATCTGTTCACACTCATTCAAGAGGCAAGACAATCTCTCTGTAGCAAAGAAATCTAAAGCGCACACAGCAGATCCTGACTAAATGTGGTAGGTAACAGTTAGCTTCAACAACACAGTGTGTTATTCTACATGTTTAGTATACAGTATGATTATTTTACCAATGATAAACAGACCCATGGATTTAATTTACAATATGAATCAAATAAAAACAAGCACACTATATCACGCAGGAAGGAGAGTGTATATCTCAGCATTTATCCCATTAGACTGAGAAAATGACAGTGAAAAGGCCTGCCTGCCCTAATCCCAGGGGAGCACTTTGAATGTGTTCTGATGACCTCAAAGGTCAGTGTTACATGTTACATTACACAAAGGGTTAGCCCCTTTGGCGTAGGGGAATAGCAGATAAAACAAGGTTTCCATTGAAGCCCTGTGTAACACACCTTGACCAGGACACTAGTACAGATGTAGGATCTTAATTTGAGCCAGTTTGCTACAGCAGGAAAATAATCCTGCAGCAACAGGAAATGTGAATTATTATGTGGATTATAATTAATGGACATTTTTGTAGGGGTTGACACATTTTTCGTAGGGAAAATCAAGTCTGAAATTTCAAAGTATAAATTTCAAACTTTAGAAGCCTTTTTAAATGTCAAATACACTACAAGTTTTACATTTCCTGCATTGCACGAAAGTTATCTTGCAACAGGGTGATCAAATTAAGATCCTACATCTGTATATCCATCAAACCTGCTGAGCTAACTACAATACAGCTTGTGATTATCCCTGTTCTTCCGCTCATCTCTCTCTCCCCCCCTCTCTCTCTCTCTCTCTCACTCCCCTCGCTCTCTCTCTCTCTCACTCCCCCTCTCTCTCTCTCTCTCTCTCTCTCTCTCTCTCGCTCTCCTCACAAAGTCACAGAGGGAGGGCTAGCTCCATCTACAGCTACATTAAATGTGCTCTCCACATTTCCTTTAACTTTGTGTCCTAGATTTGTTTTGTTTTACTTTTACTCAACATAAATTATTATAGGCCTACCAATATCAATCATCTGGCATTTTTACACCAACTACTGATCAATAACATAACCATAATTCAAACAAATGATTATTGCTTGAAAAACTCAGAATCTCAGATTCATATTTATATAAAGTGCACTGCATAAACTACCAGAAAAAGTTGTTCCAAGTACAGTGACATGTTTCTGGGCCTACTAACATTCTGAATTAATGATATTTACATTTACAAGTACATTTCCATTTTGTTGTTAGTCTTATACTATACATGTGTTATTGTATTTTTATTATGCCCAGCATAACATATTTAAGATGCTATAAGAACTATCTCTTGAATACACAACTTATTGAACATATAAAACTAACTAAAGGGTTTAGTAAGTTCTCCTAAATGAAGCATGCTTGGTTGAATGAAGGAGATTGCTGAAGAATAGTTATTTTATTTGTTCTGTTTCATTATATATTTCTTATGTTTATTAAATGTATTTCTTAGAAGTAGGTTGCTTATATTATGCTATTTCATTTTTTATATATAAAAGGTATTTTATGCAGTTAATTCACAGATATAAATCCTACAATATAGTATGCTATCGATGTCTTCTCTTGATCCTGAGATTGTCCTTTTATAGGTGACCCAGCTTTTATTGTTTTGGCGCAGAATAAATTCCCAGTACATTCCACTGAAACAGTCATGCGGGATTTTCAAACGAGGATGAAAGTGATGCTTAGACAGGACAAAACAATGAAGAGAAGCTAGCTTTATGTAGCCTAGTTGTGTGTGTAGCCTATGTATGTATTTGTTTGTCTGTTTGTTCTATTCTTGTCTAAAAAAGAGACGTGTGTAGGAGTGTGCCTCAGAGAGGGAGAAAGAGAGAGTGGGAGAGAGAGAGAGAGAGAGAGAGATGGAGCGAGAGAGTGCATGCACATCTGAAAATGTATAATAGTTTTTCATGAAAATGAAGTTACATTTGTGTTAATTTAAAACGGTGTAAATGTGTATATTTTAAAGTTGCATCATGATGGTGATAATTGGCATAGATGCACATGAATGTGAGAAGGCACCTGGGTTTCAATAATTGGTTAAACAAGATTGAGGTTACAATGTTAAGTGGTAGGCCTAAGTCATAGTGCGAATAGATGAAAAGAGGAAGAAGAATTGGTATAGGTAGAGTTTGATTCATACATCCAATGTGTGTAAAATGTGGGATTTGAATCCCGCAACTCTTAACCCCCGGGTTCACTTACCAGAGGCACAGATAAAAGACGTCATCAATTAGCCGTGAGTCAGTGGGAGCGCTGATTGCCAGAGGCGTTAACTCGTTTTCGCTTTAACTTCGTCCTCCTTTTAAGATAGAAATTCCCCGAGGAGCGGGTGTTTAGAATTTTATAAATAATTTAGCAATTTAAACGGCGAGGAGCAAGCGAGATCCAACAGATAACGATATTACGCACAATGATTTCCCACACAGCACTGTAATGTATTAGGCTATTAAACACACGCAGGTAAACAATCCCTGTGCGTTATTTGATAGCTCTGGCTGCTCCTGCCACCAATATGATCAGGCTATTATTTTAGTATATGTGAGCTAATAATTCTATAGGTAGCCTAAAAAACGAAATGGCATACAGTAAATTAGGCCTCAAAATCTGTATAGATTTCAATTTAGCCTATAATAAAAAAACATGTTGGTAAATGTAGTTTGTTTTAGCAATACATTTTGTCAGACCACTGTGTGATATAGCATAATCAACTTGATAGAGCCTTTGAATTTAAGGAGAGGCAGGTACAAAAGAGGGACGGACCACTTTGAAATCATACTTTCATAATGGTTAGACGGATAAACAAATAGCATATATATGTATTTTTAATTACCATACCCAAAATCACACCGGGACAGTTACAAATCAGTAATGTTAACACATTAAATTGTCTAATTGGCTTCAAAAACATGGTGGGAAAGAAATGAAGAGAAAATATAGATACAGTACGCCTATAAACAGTAGATAGATACCTGACACCTTGCCATGCCCCCATCCGTCATCGACAGAGAGTGGCTGTAGACTGAAGAAATCCCGGTCATAAATTAGATCACATGTTGAAAACTTTGCTCCAGTCGAGCTGCAGATATGATGAGTACGGAACTGAAGTTTGGTAGAAAACAAATCTAGCGGGCGTGATCCACTACGATTTCCGTTCATCAAAGTCTGTCAAAATAAATTACATTGATTTTTGCATTAGTCAATATGTTTTTGATTATCAAAGCGTAGAAACACAGGTCTAACGATTAAATACTGCACTTTTGACATACGCTAGGCTATCTAAAACGACTGCCAGAGAGGCAACTGACGATTCATAAAACTCACGGGTCTGTCTCTGTTTTATAAATCTAAATCAATATTCAAATCTGTTTTAAGTGAGCGGGTATGCCAGTGTGTGTGTGTGTGTGTGTGTGTGTGTGTGTGTGTGTGTGTTTGTCTGTGCGTGTGTAGGTGTTCCTCAAAGCTTCTTAAGATGATACATTTACCAAGCCGTGACAAAACCCTCGGCATATTGTTTTGGTGTGCATACAGGTTTAACATTCAAGTGACGTAGGCTATTAGTTGTGGCTTGAGTCAATATCAATTGCGGAAATCAGTTAGAATTTCTGTTCTATTAACTATTCAACTATAGCACCTATTCAACTATAATAATAATAATAATAATAATAATAATAATAATAATAATAATAATAATAATAATAATAATAATAATAATAATAATAATAATAATATTCAGGAAGATAATAATTTATTGAGCTATGGATAAAATACATTTGTTTTTTGTAGAGGGATGCCATAACGCTACGCAACCTATTATTATTTACACATATCACAAATTGTTGTGAAACGATCATTCAAAATGTAGGCCATAGGAAATAACGTTGGAAGAAAAATGACGTTTTCATTATTCACATTAATTTAAAAGAACTATACCTTTTAGAGAGAAAAACAGTCTGCGTTGATTTTCTCCTGAAGTGCATGAGGTCCACTGAGTTCTCCAGTCAATTCAAGGTTGCAGTAAAGATGTATCCACTAATTTAAGTAGGATGTCACCCAACTCCTGCAGGGATGGTCTTCTCTCTGTTGATTTGTTCCAACCACGACATCATGTGTTAACATGGCTGAATATTTAAAGCTATTAGCTTATTTAAAAAATAAGCCACCGGGAATTATTATTACATCTGTCAATAATATATGAGGCCCAAATCTTTGGTTAGTCTGCCTCATATATTCCCTATCCTGACTGAATTTTGGTATCTCAACTTGATCGAAGCGGGCGCTCTGTGGATGGGAGCACAGTTTTAAGGAAATAAATCTCCCTAAATCCCCCCTTGCTACGCAATGGAATGTAAGAGGACCGTGTTTCAGCCTCCACTTGGAGCGCTTGCTTTTCGCCCGGACGGTTTTTGTCATGGCCCCAGAATTGTCATGGATTCGTGGGGAGTGCTCCATGTTGTTATTAGCTCTTGTTATTAGTCATTATTCGGGAGATTAACAGGCTGTGGATTTTGCCCACTGATCTGGAACCATTTATGAATCGTGGGGGTAGTTTCCTTTTTACCATAATTGGGAACATTTTATATCAAAATTGTTATATGTGCTAAACAGACGTAAATAATGTATAATCAAGTGATGGTTAAATGTGCTCTGTCCACTAACCACTCAAATGAGTCGTGATGCAGGGAAACAACTGTTCCTATTCCTTTGCTAAGATTTCCAGCCCTGTGAGTTTGAGGTTTTATTACTAATTTACTGTCAGCTCCGGGATGAGAATGTTGTCAGTCGCCCCCTCGCTGCCATTGGCTGAAGAGTTTGCGTCAAAAAGTAGCTAGCGACATTTGCTTCTCAGCAAATTTCCCCGGGAGAGAGACAGACCCCCATCTCCGAGTGCTCCAGACGTTCTCATTGGCCAGCCCTCTCTACAAATCCAACTCAGCAACTTCACTCAGAACAGACTAACAAATCATAACCGTATGTATTTTACCATCATAAACGGGTTTGCACTCTACCATACATTGGTGCAAGTGTTGAAGATTAAAGTTTTGTCGGTCTTTTTATTCTAATATATCCAAAGCGACAGTTACTTTTGATTGGTTACCTTATAGGATTTCGCAATTATAGAGAGAGGTATTTTATTCAAGGAAACGATTGGACAAAGAACTATCTTCTCCGGCCACAATCGAGAGTAAGTTGCTATGTATTATTAATATTATTATTATTATTATTATTATTATTAGTAGTAGTAGTAGTAGTAGTAGTAGTAGTAGTAGTAGTAGTAGTAGTAGTAGTAGTAGTAGTAGTAGTAGTAGTAGTAGTAGTAGTAGTAGTAGTAGTAGTATAGGCTATCATTATTATAGGTATAGAGTCGTAATTGTACAACAAAAGGATGAATAGGCTACCTATTAGCCTATATGCTATACAGGCATCGTCCCACAGGCAACATCCAACAGCAAAAATAATAGCCTATAACAATAAAATAAATACAATTGTGTATTAGGCCGTATTAGGTTACTGTGTTTGTACATCAAATTTACGGTCAATTAACACCTTGCTTATCCAGGAGAAAGAGCGAAACGTCCTGACACATATTAATCGACTGATAAAACTCATTAGACCACTGAACACTCCGGTGTGTATTGTGTATGGATCTTCAATGTAAATCCTACTGTAGAACACTGGAAAACAGTTTTACTACACAGTTTCTGTTCTACATGTGACAATGAATTTTGTAGTTTTTAAACTCAGTGCTAGTTTGTAGCTACATTTAAACCCAAGTTAGGCCAATAATTCGAGCCGTAATGTTCTTCAACATGAATATTATATTTTACAAATTGAATAACTAATGTTTGTCACGATGACTTTCTTCAATCTGCATCCCAGTGAATGTTCTCAGTTTGTGTGAAAATGCATGCAGACAAAGGGCGATAATTGAGGAGGCGTGTAGTGAAGCCCCTCTCTGCCTGTACAACACCTCCCTCCCCGCTCAGTCCTCCATGGAACAGCCATGCGGGACAGGGCATGCGGGAGGGTCATGGCAATTCTCTCAAATATAGCCTGCATCGCAGAAATTGTGCACGTTTTTATTAGTGTACAGAGCTGTTGCAGGGAGGGGTGTGTTTATCCGTAAAAAAAGTCATAGAAATCAAATAGTCCAATTCACATTCTAAAAGTGAATATTTTTCTAACACGTTAATATCAATTGAGTAGCCTAAAATCAAGATATTCTTAAAATGTTTTGCCTAGAGGCTATTATTTAGCATATATACGCCTGTAAATTGATTTGTTTCCATTATCCAAATGTCTAACTACAATGAAACACTTATGTAAATGTAATGAATTGTTGTATCATGATTCTGCATGCCATATGGATATGAAATAAAATAGAGGAACCTGTGTATTTTTGTTAACACTTATTTTCGTCAGTTTGCAGAGTTATTATGGCCGAATGCTGTGCAGAGTTGAGGATAGCGTCCTGTAATTAGGGTGCGCGTGCCACCCGGATTATCTCATTAATTAATCAACAAACACATTTATCATAATTAATTATTGGACTGGGTCATTATTATAGAGCGGGTGTGCAACTGCTATACGAGGTCTGTTTTAAGTGTGACAGATTGAGTGGAGGGAAAAAACCGTTGGATGGATATTAAAAAATGCAAGAGACGGTTATAAAGTAAACTATTTAGACAAAGATGTATTGGTTTATTGGTAAGGGTGTGGGTCACCACAAGTTGAATTTAAACCCGTTTTCCAGGTAGGAATATTCCAATATCATCGAATTGTTCAATCTTTATGAAGATACTCCCGGAAATATGTTAACCTAATTTTTAATCAGAAATATGTATGTAAAGCCATTGAGGTGGAAAGTGGCATACTATCGAATATATTAAAGTTAGTCCTATTATGCTCTCATTTGTAAATTCAAAAACTCAATATTTTCCTGTGCAATATTATTTTAAAATTTGATTGATTCATCACCAATGTCAAAGTATTAATAAAGCATGCATTTACCAATACATCTTTGTCTAAATAGTTTACTTTATAACCGTTTGAATGTCAAGGCTGATGTGCCCTCCAGCCCAATACTACGTTTTTTTTTTAAATGGGTTTTAACACCTTTAAATTAGTCAAGAGGCGTTTTGACAGTGGGAGATAGGGGGAGTTAGCCCATAACTTAGAATGCGGTTGCCTGTTTGGTTAACTCAAGTCTCCCTAAGCATATGGCCTCGTTATCAAAACATTTCGATTGCCTTCTGAACGTTCTTCAACCTTGGAAATCTAATTACAGAGAGCAATTAATTAGGATGGAAATAGTGAAGAACCTATTGGGCACAGTCGAGTTCCCTTCAAGTTTTAAGTTGTTAGCTGAAGTAGACCTCTGTTTTCACATTTTAATGACACCCTATTCACATTTATAGCGATTACTGGTGCGGACAAAACCAAGAGGCAGAGTGAAAAGCTTGGGTTAGTGAAATACCTAATGTACAAAATGGGCCCGATAAGTTGACTGCATTGTTAGCTACTTTTCGCCAACGGGGGTTTTGTTATCTGTCGGGTCTACAGTGTCTTTGTCTCGGCAAATGGCCCCCATCAATTCCCTTATATTTGAGACAATTAGCTGGGTTCTATGTAAATTGTGGTCCTAGCTGAGTCCCAATGTGTGTGTGTGCATTTGAGCGACTGTGTTTTGTTCTTTTAGAGGACTTGTTGCAATTATAGGATGTTGCTTTTTTTGGCTGGGGGGAGGAGGGGGGGGGGGGGGAGGGGGGGGGGGGGGGGGTTGAGGGAGGAACGTTTGTCAAGATGAGCCAAGCTCAAGAGGACAGCTGGGGGTCTGGGACTGTTTTAAGAACATGCTGCGGCTGGATAGGATTGTTTCCCAAGTAATCACAGGGCTGAGTCCATCAAATGCTATTTAAACTGGATGCAACTTGCTTTGCTAAATTTCTTATCTTATTGTGATTTCTGGAACAGGCATCCAGCGGCAAAATCGAGACAGCGAGAAAAAGATCAGATAAACAACCAAGAACATCTACGAGCCTTACCCAATTTTCAAAATTTTCTCCAACTTTACCCCCCAGTCCAACATTAGCATGATGTCGTATCTCAAGCAACCACCTTACACAGTCAATGGACTGAGCTTAACGACCTCTGGAATGGACCTTCTGCATCCATCCGTAGGCTATCCAGGTGAGTTTCAGCACTTTTTAGGCGTGCGCATGGATGCTTTAATAATTTATGTCAACTCTTCATTTGATTAAATTGTCCAATTAGGATCAAATCAGGTAGGCCTATAGCCTACTAAAGCTTTAATGAGTCTGATTACAAAAACATGCCAAGGGATTCTTGCTACTAATGCGTAATCATATTGCTGCAATGAGGGAAGACGTCAACTAACTGTTGCATTCTGTAGTACTGACTTTAAAATTATTATTTCATTAAATGTTTGTAACGTTTCATTGGTCCTGAATTTGTCTTAGCGCTGAATAGCAAATACATGTGAAACAAAGTTGTTATAAGTTACACTTAAAATCGAATACAATTCATTCACAGTTGTGTCTCAATATCCCTACTTTATATTCTGATAATCTCATGTGGGTAGAATTAACATTTTAAATTATGCATCTGTTTATTTTCAACAGCTACACCCCGCAAGCAGAGACGAGAAAGGACGACTTTCACACGCGCCCAACTTGACATTTTGGAGGCACTGTTCGGCAAAACTCGCTACCCTGATATATTCATGCGCGAGGAAGTAGCACTAAAAATCAACCTACCGGAGTCTCGTGTACAGGTGAGTGTTGACCAAGACAAAACAGAATATATCTACCTATCCCTGTGAATAATAAATATCCTCTGCTTGTGGCAACTCAAACGAGGAGAGGAGACATATGGCCATAACAATAATTGGCATAGCATTCATAAAGAGACCCTTTGAAAAACGTAAATGGATTAATCAGTATACTTTAATTTTAATTTTAAGTGTCAACCAGTGCTTTTCAACATCAGTATAATAATACATCTCCAAAGTCTATGATCAACACAACACACATAAAGGACTGTTTGGTTCATGCGTCAAATGCCTATTTTCGTCACATTTTGGAAACTCTATATATAATAGATGGCTTGTTTAAACTGTTTGGGTGATTAATTGTGTTTGCTATTTTGTGTTTGTTTTAGGTTTGGTTTAAGAACCGAAGGGCAAAGTGCCGCCAGCAGCAACAGCAGCAGCAGAACGGGGGCCAGAACAAGGTACGACCAGCCAAAAAGAAGAGTTCTCCAGCCAGGGAAGCGAGCTCTGAGAGCGGGGCGAGTGGCCAGTTCACACCGCCCTCAAGTACTTCAGTCCCGACCATCTCAACCAGCACCGCGCCAGTATCTATCTGGAGTCCAGCCTCTATCTCTCCGCTGGCTGACCCTCTCTCTACCTCCTCCTCCTGCATGCAAAGATCATACCCAATGACCTACACACAGGCCTCGGGATACAGCCAAGGCTATGCCGGATCAACGTCATACTTCGGCGGAATGGACTGTGGTTCTTACCTTACTCCCATGCATCACCAGTTGTCTGGCCCCGGGACGACACTCAGTCCTATGAGCACCAACGCCGTCACAAGCCATCTGAACCAGTCCCCTGCATCCCTCTCCGCTCAGGGCTACGGAGCCTCGGGGCTAGGCTTCAACTCCACTGCAGACTGCTTGGATTATAAGGACCAAGCGGCATCCTGGAAACTGAACTTCAATGCAGATTGCTTGGATTATAAAGATCAGACTTCATCGTGGAAATTCCAAGTCCTGTGAAAAAAACAATATGTAAACTATTCAAACAAAGACAATGATGATAAATCAAACATATAGCTCTGCCATCCTTCAATAAGATATATGCTTAAAAGACTGAATATTCGTGTCGTCGGTAAGGAACTGCGAGAGAGAGGGGGCTATCGGTGCCTCGTGTTGTTGGCATGATGTTTGGCCCCAGCCCATAGAGGAGAAGTTATACTTTATTTTAGCGTTGGCTAAGAGACTTTATTTTCATTAACCTCACAGGTTGTAGCCCTCTCATCTGTATGTCTGTCAGTGTGTGCCTCTATGCTTACAGCACCTGTTGGTTAATTTAAGGAAAACTCGGAGTGGACTCTTAGTAATTTATGGTACATCACAGCCACGGAACAAATCCTTATCCAAGAACAGAGGAGCCGATCTTTTGGTTAAGAGCTTGGGATGGACAGGCTTCGTTTAAGCCTTACAACTTGCCGACCTATTGGCAGAGGGACTGATCAGGATGATGTGTGGACTGCGCGCTCCCGAGGCGACATGGATGCACTACTTTATTTAAGAAAAAGTGTTTATAAGGAATCAATATGTAGTTTCTAAGAGACAATCAGTGTGTGTCTTATATAAATGGTACATATGTGTTTTTTTTAAATCTGTGCTAGCCTTCGAAACTGTGATCTGTTGTATTGTATGCAATTTGTGAGCTCCCTCGCATCAGCGATGACTCTCTGCAGTGATTTTAATAGATTTTTAACTTTTTGAACAAAAAAAAAATTATGGATAATGATAAAATAATTCTTATTGCAAGAGACAACCTGACTGTCCAAACCCATGGTAGAACATCTGAGGTGATACTGGAAAAGAAAATCGATTGCTGAGAGCTCTCTAGACTTGCCGTGTCCCTCTCCATTGATCACACACGCTGACTGTGGATCCCTAACATGGCTCCAAAGATTGTGTGACCCCACCGCTGAACAGACATGAATAAAGGTCCTGTGATCTGACCCCCTCATTTATCAATTAACTTAATATGGATTCACTATTGACTGTGAGTGAGTGTGTGTGTGTGTGTGTGTGTGTGTTGATGATCATATTTATGTATTTTACAAGGTCATCCTTGGACCGATATGGATTAAACGTTGTGGATGTAGGTTATATATGTATTGTATGTCCCCTCACCTTGAATCAGGGGCGGACTGGGACCAAAAATCAGCCCTGGCATTTCTAACAGGAGGACTCCACAAAGCCCATTTTTTTGCCCCCATTATTAGCCAGAAAATGATCATTTTACACACAAAAAGAAAACAACCTAGACATGCCCACTAGGCTCAAATTGGACCAAATCGAAAAAAATGTATATTCATAGGAGGAGTCATAATCCTATTTGTTGGAATAATTGAGAGAGAACACCTGTCTCGTGTGTTTTAAGGATATGTTTATTGCAAAACTAACAGGACTTCAGCCATTCAAGCAAAAAGTCAAACAAAATCTTGGTAGGCAAGATAAATTGCAGAAGCCTATGCAATGTTATTTCCTCAGAATACGATATTTTCAAAATAAATGAATGAACGAATGTCAGTCATATAAAAGCCCCACTTAAGAACAGCAATAACAACCTTGATCATATTAATATTCAAATGACATAGAAAACCCTGTTGGCTAGTTGTGATTAACTTTTGAGAGGGAGAGAGCAAGAGGGCGGGCTGTCTTGTCATTCCCAGAGAGATTTTGCCCCCACGTCAGGTTTTAAGAGGTGTGTTAATTAGGTCTCTAATTACCATCTTAGTAAGCAGTCATTAGCCACACTTGGCCGTTCAATATCCTCCAATCCGCCACAAACGGTAAACAGGCAGCCTGCTGTCTACAATGACCATTGCTATAATAAAGAAAACATACTGTGTAGCCTAGCTGTGTTTCAATCATAATAAATAATGGCTAAATAATACCAGAGTTGGCCTATTTCAAGCCATAAAATGGCTATTGCTTTTTTCTTTGTCAAGCCCAGTGATACAAAACATGGATTTGATTTACTCACGTGAAATCCAAAATAAATAGGATATGATGACAGTGAACAGCTCTGCGTCGTGTAATTGCGCTATTACAAAATAAGAGCTTATAATTTCAGCAACAGCCAGGGTAGGCTATAGCGCATTTTAATTAGCCTATGTTTCTTTGTTCGTTTCCGGTCCCTAGTTTTAGATAGTCTCAGCGACAGGAATGTGCTTCTTGAGAAAATGGTGTTAATCCTGGCCTCAAAGAGAAGCTAATCCCAATATTTTACTAGCGGGATTCTTTAAGGCACAGGCCAGCCGCGGTTTAATTCAAACACCACTGCATGCTTCTACCCAACTCTGCATTCTATAGGCTGGCCTACTGCACCAGTTCGTTTTAAGCAGCCTCTCTACAAACAAACTTTGATTTAGTTTTTTGTTCAACACATGGATTGACTCGATCTCCAAAAAAAAAAGAGGTTATAGCTATTTAAATTCATGCCACTTGGTAATACTATGGACATATTTTTGAGAAACTCTAGTTGCAGATTGCTAAACTGAAGCTGCCCATATTCTGCAAACTGGAATTGTTAAAATCAATTAAAAGGGAACAAAATATGTCTAATTAGTTAAGTTAATCAAATATATTAAAGCACAGCTCTCTGCAAAGTTCCACTATGGCGTGTAATTGCACAAAGTTTCAAGCTTGCATACATAGTTGTTTTTGGACCAAATCCGATTTTGTTAGGGGGTGCAATGTTTATGCGAACAATTGGCACCCCGGAGTCCTCTGGAGCTCAATGGAGAACTTCTACAAAGCTAAATCTGGAGAAGGCAAAGAAAGGAGGAGGGGAAAGGGTTTTACCGTCGGCTCTGGGTTATTTCAGAAAGCCTGACTCTAGGCATGCAACGTTATTGTGAGTTGACTAAGGCAAAGTCAGAAAAGCAATCGAATCTTTAATGACTCGACATGCCTCTGCGGTAATTGTTAGAAGTCGAACATTCAATTAGCATCCTTGACATTGCAAAGAATCTTTATTTCATTCGAGTCCTCACACGCTAATTAAAACCCGGGCTTGAAATAATCGAACCATTAAAAAGAGGGATAAAGATTTAGATTTTATTCCATTGCAGAAAAAGGGTAGGTGAATGAACATTGTGTGTGTGTGTGTGATATGAATGATAATAATGATCAGCTAAAATAGATGGTTAGTTTAGATGTAAGTGAAAGTTCAGTTGTATCAACATACTAAAGGCCTAATCGAGTGCAAGTACTAACTGTAAAAAAATAAATATATATACGTATATACTGTATGTACCAATAAACAATGAAACAATAATAATTAACATTTAAAGAATAGCTGCAATTATCTGTCGCATGCATATTCATGAGTTGGCGTCTCCTCGTGCTGTGTCAACAACAACTGGCCTCTGCCCTGCAGACTGTACAATGTGTTTCCATAGTATTTGGATTTGAAGGTCACTTGCAGGAAGAACAAATGTAGATATCAACGGACAACTTTTGGTAGGCTATAAGTATTTGATTTGAGCGTTTGACCATACATTATCAGTGTTCTTAATGGGGAATCCTAACGATTAGCGCGCGTAATTTGGATTTGAGCATAAAGTAGGCCATTAAGAGATTTGCTCATAAATTCGATTTACTCGCGGGAATTAAGGATTCTGATTGGACCCTAGCGCACAGAGCCATTCACACCACATATTCATGAGAGATTCTAATGATAATATTTATTTATTTATTAACTAACTCATACAATGCAATAAAATCCCTTTGCAATTAGGCCAAACTGATAATGATGAGAGGGTTAACATAAATAAGGTAAATATCTATTATCAATGCTCATATTCAACAAACAATATTTTATAAGTCGAATAGCCTGTTAAATAACTGTCAGAAAGTGTAGTACAGTGGGGTTGACACATTTATCCGAGGAGCAACTCTACGCGGGCAACTTTACGTAGGCCTACAACTTGCACACATGCACAAAATGGCAACCACTAATGATAACAATAACAACAATAGACCTAACAAGAATAATAATAGTAATGCTACAAATATGAACAATAATAATACCAAGAAGTTGAGTCATCATAATCACAACCAACACCAGTGTTTAGCGCAATCATGTAACATGCCTGTATTTTAACCTTTATTTAAAGCTTTTTTTCAAACTGGCCCCTTTTCGTTTTATGTCAGATGGTCCAGCATCATCCTTAGACAATATGCTTTCATTTTTGGGGTAATTCTCATTTCTGGATAAGGCTTAAAATGAAGGATAAAATCTTGCTATGTCACGATTGTGCAAAACACCCATTGCGTTTGTATAATTAAAATACATTGGTAACTAGCTATTCATATGCGTTCCTCCATATGAAGGATGTTACTTATTTGCCTTTCTGATGTGTTCAATCATCGAGATCAAACGAAGACGCAGGAGAAATCATTCACCATGTCATGATCTCTTTTGCAGCCTCCTCGAGCCGGACTAAACAATGCACTAATAATCAGGCCTGATTGATAAGTGCAGTGATATTCTGAGGGACACAATAGGCTCACTCTGAAGGTTATAACTTTTGAATGTGATGTTGTTTTAAGAGTGCACAAGTCACCGTGAGTTTAGACGCCAGGCGCGCATTCCCGTCTTGAAGACCCCATTCCTGCAGTCAGACTCTGTGTTTTAATCAAGAGCAACCGTCGCTGAAGAGCATGTGGGACCGACAGACGCTGCATTGATCCCTCCTAGCTTTTGTCAGTGTTACAACAATAGGCTGCACTTACAGCACTCCTTGTCCTGCCCAGCTATGCACCGCACCGCACCACCACGGTCCACTCCAAGCCCTCACTGGAGACGCCCAGATGCAACCTGCTACCAAAGACGCGCGAATGGCTGCGTGATGTTGGGAAATGTTTAGTAGCCCTATAACGCATGCCCAGATTAATACCCCAGAGTAAGTGATCATGATCTGTGATTATAGGCTACATAGGTCTACGAGGCCATCGTCGACAGACGCTTCAACAGAGAAACAGGTGATGCGCACCTCTTACTAGACAGGATGAACGATCATATTAGTGCCCATTCAAACAAAATCCATCTGAAATGTTCTTATCTCCAGCCCGTTTATACCTGGTTCTAGCATGCGTCATTTGTCCTGATCCTGTCCACATCCTGATTGTGCCCACATTTCTAGTCAGGTGTAGACGATTAAAAGAGGCATTGTGAACTGAGTCAACTGTTATCAATTGATAACGATTTAGGAATTAAATTACTTGCAGGCCTACGACAACCGTGCACGTCCTCTATTTTGCTGATAATGACTGATAATCCTATTCTTATATTCTTCAGGTACATTTTATTCATATATCAAACGTTATACTGTTTAGGAAGGACATTTTATTTCATTGATTTAGACAAGAATAGGCCTATGGTCTGGAAAGTGGGAGTATAGGCTAATGTGTGCATCATGAGAACACATACCCTGTCCCTAATTCCAAAGGTTGGCAACCACCAGCTTAAAACCATCCTGCAAAAATAGTATGCAAAAGCCTCTGTCGTTATCAGTCCCAAAAGCTTCAATTTGTTACCCATTTTCCTTTGTCCTTTCCTGCAGTCTCGGGTGACGATACAAATCCTCTATGGCTCTGAAAATATATTGTTGTGAAATACTGTAGCCTACATCTGAACAAAACAAACCCATTGTTGATTTTCAACAATGAAAAACGGGCAAACTATCCGTAGGCTACACATGCTGCTCTCTCAAATGACTGATTTAAAAAAGATTTGTGCAGATTTCGACTTGAACCATCATTTAGACATCTACCTTTTGGCAAATGTTTAATGACCCAAAATGAACGGGGAAAAAAGGACTGTTACAGTTTTTTTCTTCACATAATGTAGTTATGACCGACTGATTTGCGTATGCACAATTAATAACATTAGGCTATACTACTACTACTACTACTACTACTACTACTACTACTACTACTACTGCAGTACAATAGTAAATAATAATAATAAATA